GGTCCTCATACTCCTGCAGCCCTGAGACCTGACTGCCAGCCACCTACAGGAACCCTTCCATTCTGGTCCATGGAAACTGTCTCCAGAGCCTTGACCACGGCCTCTGCACCTGCCCTGGGGAGCGAGCTGGGTGCAGGGACAGGCACCCACAGCCAACAGGGATCAGTCCTCGCAACATGTCCGTGCAACACCCTGCACCATCAGGGACCTGATGCAATGCAAATAGCAGCCTGACTCATGCTGCACCAACCTGGCTCCTGCTCAGCATTTGAGGTGGGACAGCCTCACACTGCTCAGAAATACCAAATAAATCAGGTCCTGGGAATGAGCCACTCCTGCTGCAGCAAAACCCCAGCCCAAACTGGCCATCCCCCTCTCCCACAGGAATCCCAAAGCATCCCCGGAGCCACCTCAGCAGCTCCAGGGGTTCAATGGCCACAAGGACCCGGCTCTGCCGCAGCTCAGCCCCCCGACAGGCACCTCCCCTCCAGCCCAGGGCAGGCGGCAGCTCTGCCCCCGGCAGGGGCAGGGGCTGGAGATGAAGCAGCAGCAGCAGCCCTGGCCAACACTTCCTCGCTGCCGGGGCAGCCCCGGTGCAGCACCCGCCAGCTGCCAAAACCTTTCCCCCGAGCCAACACTCCAGGCAAATCCTCCTGACCTATTGCTCAACCAGGCACTGCATCCGCTCCAGAACATTTGTGCATCTCCACGCTCTGGGGGGGGGCTCAAGAGCTCCTCGCTCTCGGCCCCAGGGGCAGAGCTGGTCACTTCCACCCCCACTGTGGGAAGAGGTCCAGCTTTGCTCAGGGCAGCCCGTACCAGGAGAGCCTGAGATGACAAGAAAGCACTTCTGATACCTTCATGCAAGTCTTGAGGGAAAGCTTTCCAAAGGAGAATAACCCTGGCCTTGGGGAATGCAAGGATATGCAGGATCTAAGCTTCGAGGAAGGCTGGTGACAAGTGAACCGAAAAAACGTGTGGCTGGAGGGGCAGCACTGGGGAACACCAGCCACGCTCTGCCAGCCCCAGCACAGCAGCAGCCCTTCACCTCGGGGTTGGGTGGGAACAGGCAGATACTGAACCCGCTTCCTTGTCTGGTGGCATCACAGCAGCCCCATGCAGTGCCCCACGTGCCATGACAGAGCAGCCCCTTCCCATGGCCCTACAGGAGCCTTGGGCCAGATTCCTGCCTCTGGAAACGCCTTCGAACTTTAGAGTTGAGCTAGCCACATCCTGGAAATCCCCTGGTGGGAGGAAGCCGGATAGGTTCAAACCAGCAAGTAAGTTCAACCAGCAAGAGCCCTCGGCAGCTGGGGCAGGGAGAGGGGAGCAAACGCAGCAGCACCAGGGGTCTGATCCCAGCCAGACTGGGAGCACGGGCTTTGTCCACTACCCAGAACAGGAAAAGGAGGGACCAGAACCCAGCAGTCTCTACAACCCTGACCTCTGCCACAGCACAGCTTTTTTTCCCTGCCAAGGCACCCAAGGAAGCAGTAAAGCCACAGGATGAGTCTTGAAAACTCCACAAAGCAGGAGCATGAGCAGGGAGGCAGCTCCTCTGACTCAGTGGGGAAGGAAAAGTGCAGCACTGGCAGTTCCAACCAGCAATCCCCACATTTCCCCAGCAGCACAGGGGACAGAGGGATGTGGGGCAGATGGGACAGCAGCACTTACCTTGGGACACAGGATGCTCCAGTCTCACAACCACTGAGGTCTTGTGTGAGAAAAAGGGAGAACTCATCGCAACAGTGGCTGGGTTTCCAGTGTGTGTCCTGGGTAACTTGGCAGCACCCACAGCTGCACTTCATGGGAATCATTCTGACCAGATTTGTGCTGGAGACTGGCCCTCCCAAACTGCTGTGTGTGCCACCAGGCCTGTCACTGCAATAGAAAAGTTTTCACAACCAAAATCAGTCACCACCAGCTCTTCCCTTCCTGGTTATGATAATGAACCTCTGTGCTCTGTGCTGATTCTTTCAGTTCTATCAGTCCAGCTTTGAAAGAAATAAACATCCTGCAAAACTAAAATTGTCTAATACAGTATTTTACTGGAAGACCAGCCTTAAGATCCTGTAGCATGTTGCAACTACAGGCTTCACTACAAACAGCAGAAAAGTCCTCCCCTGGTTAAAAGGTCTGATCAAACCTGAGAAACACAATCTCTCCCTGCCAGCATGTACAGAGCCACATAAGCTCCCTCCAGGTGGCATTGCCCAGAACAGCCTTCCCCCCCCCCAGCCAATAAATGACCTTTCAGACTGAGACTCAGATTTGTTTTTTGAAACAAAGCACTGTCTCCAGGAGCAGCTGCTCTTCTTGTTTTTTATTAACTGGAAATAGCCATTTCTCTGTATTATATTAACAGAATCACAGAATGGAGAAGGTTGGAAGATCATAAGGTTCCAACCTCCCACTAGACCAGGCTGCACAAGCCTCATCCAGCCTGTCCTTGAACACCACCAGGGTGGGGGCTTCCACAACTTCCCTGGGCAACCTATTCCTGTGCCTTCAGAGCACAAATCTGAATAGAGACCATAAAGTTATTCAACAAGTCAGGTAAGAACATGCTGCACTGCAGTAGAGCAGGTGGGAGGGGAAGATGTTTATACAGAAATGTGAGCATTGATATTCCTACTGCATTTCCTCCCCAGTTCTTAACAAAGCTTTAGAGCAAAGTCTTGACATATCACACTTAGTATATTATAATGCTGAGCATCTGGTACAGATGTACTACATAACTGGATAAAACTGTATCCACAGCCTGGTTATTCCAAAACAAGGAGGGCTCTGCTGCTCCTGAACACCCAGAACACCCACCACCGAGGCTGGTGCTCACAGGGCACTCACCTCCTCAGGATTACTCAATAAACTGAACACAGGACATGCTGGCATCTGCCACAACTGCTGGGTTTTTTTCTGACCTGCTGCACTGCATCAGTACCAAGCCTGTCGATTCCTGGCCCGCCCCTGCCATCAAACTGCATGTGGAGATCCTAGGGATGAAGGATCAATTCTCTGACCTTCCTGGAAAGCTGAAGTGTTCAATGGTCTTCCAAAAAGCCACGCGACACCAAATCAATTCAACTCAGCAGTTTTTATTGGTATAACACAAGTTCTTCGCCATGGCTTCGGCACAGCTGCCTCCATCCAGCACCTACACTCTGCACTGCATCATGATACAGGAAGTTCGGCAAAATGTCAGCTCAAGTAGAACATGTTAATCTTCTGATTGCAGGAGAAGCAGCACACATCAGCATTCCACCAGAAGAACAAAACACACCAAGTAGCACAAAGGCCGAGTTGAGAATAGTACTAATTATAAACAGCAGCAAGCAGCAAGTTGCTGGACAATAACATTAAAAAACATTTTTCCTGTAATTTACAAATATGCAAAGTATCAGGTTACTTAAAATTAAGAAGCATTTTGCTTACTAACATGAAACATTACTAATTAGTAATGTATCATAATTAACCAGGTATACAGGTTTCTGCGTCCCTGTGGTTTTCATGGCACATGGTGCCAGTCGGGGTAGGTCACGCCTGGGACAGTCAGAGGGAAGAACAGGAACAGACAAAACCATTCCCGAGGAGGGCTCTCAGGAACAGCTCTATCCCACTCTCCCCTTCATGATTTGCCACTCAATGACCTTGGTTTAACCACAAGATGGACATATTTAAGAAAACATAACAAAACACACAGATACAATGTGTATCAACAAATCAATTGCTTCTGGCCTGCAAGTGCAAGAAACATCTTTGCATTCTAAGCACAATGAAATTCCAGGACCAGAACCAATTACTACAGCAATTGGTTTTGCATATTTTAAATCTGTTACAGTATCTACAGTAAAAAACATATTGCAGAGTAAGAGGGAATGAAAAGGGAACAGTCTTACCAAGTCTTATTCTACATTTTTGGGTGGTGCTATAGTGTGACAAAGCTGAAGGGGACAAAAAAATATTAGTTAAAAAGATGAAGCAACAGCTTTAAAGAAAGTAATATTAAGGAATCCTCAGGAACAGTACTGGCAGCAGCCCAGACATGACTACAGCTGTTCTACTGAATGCTCAAAACTATTGCTGTCTGAAGACAAAAGGCACAAGGTCATAAATCCTTCTTGTCAGTGTTGTACAGAGATAGCAGGACAGGCTGCCAGGTCAATGTTTTGGAGCAACATCAGCAGCATGGCCACCCACAAGTTCTGACAACAGCATTTTTCAGCGAACACCAAACACACAGCTCAAGGTTAGTTCTGGAGCACTGACCGGGCTCTCATCCTGAGGAAGGATTGCACTCCTAGCTCCTCTTATTTCTGGGAGCTGATCAGTTTTCTAAGCACTTGTGGTACATAGTGGAGAATTACCTCATGTCAGGAAGGTAAGCTTAAGTTGCAGGGGTATGAAAAGCATCACTGAAGAAGTGCACAATAACCCAAAGTCAGCTAAACCTAGCTTCATACTAGATTTATAATGCAACATTTTTCACATATCTGCATGGTAGGATTTAGCCAAGAGGCTTTGTTAAGAGCTAAGAAACAGCCTTGACAATGCATTCCCATCTTCACAAATGCAAAGGTAGTATCCCCTTATCTTTCCAAAGCCCCCAGAGTCCTCTCCTGATGCCTGATCTTACATTAAGCCATCTCAAAATCAAAGCAAATAGGAGGAGTAAGGTCACATTCAGTTCTGAACAACGGCAGGAATTGCAGGTGTACCTGACTCAGACAGCCCTGAAGGAAAACTTCTGCTCTGAAGCTGCAGCCTCTTCTGTTCAGCACCCAGAGCCTCTGGGAACATGGGACCCTACAGCTGCCTAGGAGGGGCACAGTTATGTCCAGACCACAATTTGCTGTGAGCACAAAACATCTATATCTGGCCTCCAACTGGAGCCTGGTACTTCCAAGGAATAAAGAGGAGCCCTCAGAAGGCATCTATGGCAGCTACAGAGTGCAAACACTTCCTCTCAAGCTTCATATGCCTGGCTGCCCTCAGCATCAGCCTCAGATACCTGGGTTCTGAGACTTGTAGGTCAGGATCTCGGCAGCCAACTTCTGGGGATCCAAGAGCCGAGGGAAGCGGCTCATCACAGCATCAACCAGGTGGGGATGGAATATGCCACACAGCTTGACATGCACGTTGGCTCGCTCCTCTGCAAACTGGTCAGACACAGCCCACTGGCAGGAGTCCCCATAGGCTGCCCCTGGGGCCCTGGGCACGGGGCGGGGGTCCCGCACAGCCGGGGGTCTCACCTGAGGCAGCGCGTAGGGCTCAGACCAGAAGTCGCGGGAGTGCGGCGCAGCGCCGTACTCGGCAGGCAGGCTGTGCTGCCCAGCACCGGCCACGGGCACTGCATAGCCTGGGAAAGAGCGAGGGGGGCCCGAGTGAGAGAGCTCAGGGCTGTACTGCATGAAGCTAGAACCAGAGGAAGAGGATTTGTGGGAACCAGGCTTGTAGGGGACCAGACCATTTTGCTCTAAGCTGGGAGAGTGTGGGTAGACGGGTCTCTGCCGGCAGCAGGCACAGACTGCCACCGGGTCCGCCTGGGAATGGTCACAGTGACTGGCAGATCTGTAAGGCCACATGTCAGACAGTTGGTTCTCCAGAGACCCAATGCCTGAGTCAAGATGCTCCTGAGAGAGGTAAGACAGAGAGTCCATGTGAGGCTGCTGGTACCTGTCAGAGGACCTGTGGCTCCCACTGCTGGGAGGGACACTGCCTGACACGCAGCCTTTGACCTGCACTGGAGCATCATTGGGCTTTGTTTTGTGGGCCGAGCTTTTCCACTCTGCAGAGACCTTCTGCAGGGAGCTTTTATCACTCTCTGTGGGCACAGAGCACAAGAGCTCTGCCTGGGAACCTCTTTTGCCCTTTTTGTCATCCAAGGCACTGGTACTGGTAGGAGACGACTTTGCATTGGCTCGGAGTTCATCAGCTAATGAGCGCTGGGGCTGATTGATCCTTTCAGGGTGGTAGAATTTACACTTAATTCCATAAGTGCATTTCTTCCCTGCAAGGAAACACAGAGCATGAAATAACTAACCAAATTTTACTAAATGCATGAATTACATCTGCCCAGATGCCCCAGTCTTCATGTTTAGAAGGCATGTCTTACCATAAGGGCACTGTTGTTTCTTGTGTTCTGGCACCAAAGGTTTCTTTCTGAGAAAGTTATCCAGGCTGGGGCCATGTCGCCCTAAAGGATCATCTGGAGGCATAAACCTAAAGAAAAATAAATCTCCGTAAGAAGCAGTTTGTTTTCTTGGGTCAGGGTTTCACTTCTTCTAAAAGTCTCCCATTTCCAAAATTAAAAGATAACTGAGCCCTAAAACACTTTCTCATTTCACTGCAGTGACAGCTCTCCTGTCGCCTAGTGAGGACTGGCATGAAGTGCTTCACCTCAGGCACAGATGATCTGTTGCTGACCAGAATTAGTGCTTGCTGCTGGGCCTGCTAATGATTGTCCTGTGAAGAAATCAAGTCCTGGAGCTCTCCTAGGAACTCAACAACAGCAGAACTCTTAGCTCCAAACCATGAACATCTATTAGGATTACTCCAATTCCTCACACCTTTGTACCTCACCACAGCTGGGCAAGTTCTTCCCACCACACTTCCTCCTACCCAGAAATATCTGTACAGGATTTCTTTTTCATTTTGTACCAGCATTTTGTTCTTTTCAGGCAACACCTGCCATTGTTTCATTAAAACGTCAGCCTCCTCACACAGATCTTTTGCAGAAGCCAAGAATGGGACCATACTTGTCGTTCACAAAGGAGTACATCAGCAGGCGCTCCTCAATGAACTTCTTCCACTCAGGACGCTCGTTCTGCAGGTCCCGGTAGGTGTCGTTGGACACCACGATGCCATCAGACTCATGTGCCAGTTTCACAATGAACCGATCATCGTAACAGACAACACGCTTCCCTCCAACCCGTCTGGAAGGAGTGAAGACCAGAATTTTCTTCTTTTCAAGGTCACGGAGAATGTACTGGTCTAGAACAAAGACATCTGTGAACACACAGCCCAGAGATCTGCACACAGATCAGGTAACAGTATAAATAAATGACAAATGTAAAGTCATTTCCTCTCTCCACAACCCAGCCTGTATCCTCTTTTCTTACACCATCCATCAGGCTGTCTGAGGTGGATTCTTGCCATGGAGCCTGCAAGGCAGCTGAGGACACATACAGCAAGTCCCATCCACCATCCTTTGCATGGAACATACAGTTTGCATTTGACTGGCAGGCCATGTCTCATGTGGTGCCTGACTGCAGATTTCTGAGCAGAGTTACCTAGAAATTTCAGCTGTTTGCAAGTTCAGAGCAAACTCCCCTCAATTTGAATAATTCTGACTAAACTCCCATCAAGCTTAACTTTTAGCATGTAGAAATCCTGTACAGCCCACAGTGCCAAATATAGCATGATATGTCCCTGAAAGAGGAAAATGAAAGTAACAAAAGAAGTCAGGGAGCAGAGCAGTGTTACAGTTTCGTTCTCTGAAATTATTCCAACTGGTGCAGGCAAGAACTTGCTTGTGGGAAAAGTTAATGACTAATTCTCACTGGTCAGCTCAGTTTACTGGCTCTCCTACTGCTCAGATCTTCCATTCATAAGTTAATTACCAACTAGCCAGAACTTTGCAAGTTCATTAAGTGACAAAGCAGTGAGCCTGAAAGGCAACCTTTGGTTGTTATATTTCCACACCTGTTATAAGTACATCTGGTCGTGGCTGCTCCTTTCTCCAGGATGGCACAAAGACTGTAATATCCTTGTGTCCCCTGTCCCAAAACCACTGGACAGCCAGAAGGATACCTCGGCAGGAGAACACTTCTTTATTTCCATGGCTACATCAAAAAAGAAAAGAGTGTCAATACTCAGGTTATGTACAGGCTTGTCAAGCAATGTTCTGAGGAAATGGACCCAGAAATTCAGAGAGCCTTTCATGAAGAAGCAGTAGAGCAGCACAATCAGCACTTGCTGCTCCTCTTGTGTAAACAGCAGCACTAGGATCTTCACAGACTTATTGCTGCTTTTAACACAATAAACACAGAGATCCTCAGTGGGAAGGAGGAAGCAGCTATAGCTGTTGCAGCTGCTCTGAAATGGAGCCTCTGCTTCAACTCTGGACTCTAGATCTTTATTTTTAGTCCTGAGTATAACGTGATCTTGTACACCCTTTGTCCTATTCTGCCAGCTAGCACCAGGGGCTAACCTCTGCCAGTGTAAACTGCTGCCTCACTAGGTGTTTTGCTTGGAAGGTTAAAGAAAACAATACATTTTGTCTTGTCAGTTACAAACACACTACTACTTGCATGAAATAGCAACATGTCCTGCTTAAGGATCAGCACTGAATGTCTAAAGAGCACTTGGCAGGATGAGAACAAAGTTTGACAGCAGTGTCAGAAGCCAAGTACCAGTGCAAAAAGCTGCTGCTTTATTATTCATTAGGTCATATCAATAAGATTCCAGGAGTTCTAAGAGGAAACTACCACTCCTGTTTTACAAACGACAGTATTTACAGTGTAATCAGTAATCTGTTGATAATGGCTCTGGCAAACTTTCAGCATTTCTGTATTACAGCCCAGCTTGTCATCCTGGGGATCTAACAGCCTGTTTCAGGAGGACACTCAGGTAAGATGCACTATACTGGAGACAACTGGCTGCACAGTTCAGCAAGACTTTCCCCAACTGGGCACTACCCCTGCCCCAAGTCTCACTCTTCCTATCTACCCCTGAATGACCTTTCAGCTCTCCTCACCACTTCACATGCTAGTGAGCTCATTTAATGATTACTGGGGAGCTCACAGCCCAGCAGAGACACTTCCAAGAACACTATTACCACAGTCCAACTGCACCACCAGAAAGTAACTTTATTTCTCTTCCTGTCTTCTCCCTTCTCTTAAGCCATTAAGAAAATTAAAGAATTGGATCAAAATGTTCTATAAGAACTACACATTCAACACCAGAAGTAACATCTAAAGAGACACCCAACACACCTTCATTAAGAATCCAATTACACGAAGGCTTACATTAGCAATCAGAAGAAAGATGCTCTAACAGTTTCCTCTCGTGTCAGCCTGGTTTTCCCTTTGCTGGCCAGACACAGACTGCTGCAGTTTTTTAGAGATAAATGAGAAAGGCAGATTTTTTTTTTTGTTGAGTCCCTGCTACCAACCTCGAATCTACAGAAGGTAGCTAACTGGGCTGATCTGATTTGGCAGCAGCCAAGAAAAAATTCCCTTAGAAGGAAGTAAAAGCTAATTTCCACTACGATTTGCATATGTTTGTCAAGAGCTGTTCAGGGAGGCCGCTGTACACACTGCAAATGAATCAGCAGGGAACATCACACCATCAATACAGGAAGTTTCAGAATGGAATTCCCCTTTTAGCAAATTGCTTAAAAAAAGCCAGACTGCTTTCCTCATGTCAAACTCCATCCTATCAGCAGCATTATTACCGCCTGGCCTGAGTCACATTTGCTGTGATCTCTCCTGTGCTTTTGGGATAACCTGCATGGGTAAGAGGCTCCTCATTCAAAACCAACAACCAATTCTGTTGTTTAAGCCTGAGCACTTATCTAAGGTAAACTTCACTGCAAGAGTCACACTTATCAGCCCAGGCCTCACAATGGGCTATTTTCCTCAAGTGACTGCAGTGCTGCTGGAGAGCCCAGCACAGACACCCAGATGCTCCAGCCCTGCTCCATTGCCACCAGAATTCCTCAGGACTCACAGCAGACTGCACCCCCTCTTTCCTCAGTCCTGTTCTCAGAACTGTCAACCAGGGCTTAGAGAAAACCACACCTGCAAACACGTCTCTGCTCAGCACTTTCACCTCAGACAAAGCCTTGAGCAACGCACACAGCAGCTCTCTGGGCACCCTGGGTCTTGGGCTCTTGTTTTTCTTATAAAAAGGTCTGTGTGCACAAACACACATTATAAGATCTATGAAGCTAAAACACAGTGAAGGAGGCTTGTTTTGGAACTGCAACAATAAAACCCAATTAAGAAACTTGATGCGTTAATTTCATGGAGCTCAGACCCCCTGTGTGGAGGTGGGGGTGCAGCAGCAGGGTTGGGGTGGGGGCAGACAGTGCTCACCATCGTGGTGAGCAAAACCAAAGGTGGAAGTAGTGATGAGGATAATAAATACCCAGCCCACAGCGAGATTCTGGGTGCTCCATTGATATTAGGGCTCCTGCACTCCCAAGTTACTGTTCCAACAGGCTGCCCTGCTTGTGGTGCCTGACCCCCCCTCCACCATCCACGCCAGGACACTGAGATGCTGGGGGCCAGTGACTGCCCTGCCCTGGTGACACCAGAGGGCCCCTGTGCCATCCCACCTCTTCTCTACGCTGTGCAGAAATTTAACCAAAACACAAGAGCAACAACTTGACTGATGACTGGTCTCCAGTGAGGAGAGAACTCCATATTACAAAGCCTTCTCTAATTAAACCTGTAATTACTTATTGAGCAACTTCCTGCTACAGAAACTTACATAAAGCCATTAGGTAAGAGAACAATGTATCTTCAGTTACCCTTCTCAGCAGCCCAAAAGAGGGAAGTGCCCCTTGTCCCAGGCCCACTCCAGCCTGAGCCCTGTGCCCACGGGCTGGCAGCGACAGCGGGCAGGAGAGGCCAGCAAAGCAGGTCACGCCTGCAGATGTGATGCTCGTGTTCGGGAGAGCTACGTGTGCGGCTGAGGTGCCTCGGAAAGTATGAGCAGCCCCTGCCGGGCACCCCGCACGCCCGGCAGCCGCACCGAGCGCCTCGGGGGGGCCCGCCC